CTCCCTTCCTCTGTGGGAAGGGAGGTTTTTCAGCACTCCAGAAGGCTGTAAAAGCCTTGCTGGCAGTCCACAGCCATTCCTACCCTCTCTTCCCCCTACTGAGACCACCCCAAACATCTCCTCTCCCTCTTTTGAAGTATGTCACCTTTGCAGGGGGGGTTAAAGAGAAGAGGAGGAGGGAAGAGGCTGCTTTCAGCAGTTCCAGCCAACTAGACATCTGGATTATTTTCCCCCCCTTTCTGGTTTCCGATTCCCAGCAAGCAGAAAAGCTCTGGCCATTCCCGGTGAGTGGAAAACCAGTGGAAACCAGCTGAACTCAGAGGGGAAACGGGGGAGGCCAGGCTGGGAGGAGGAGGAAGAAGAGAAGGAGGAGGAGGTGCTGGCAGTTGGTCTTTGAGGGCAAGGGGCTTTCCAGAGGAGGTGAGGAGGGAGCCAGGGAGAGGACGCTGGGGAAGGAGATGTCGAGATGGGCTGCAGTCTCACCATGCCAGGGGCTGGCAAATGCAGCTGGCTGCCGGACAGAAGTGGCTTCTGGCTGGGTGGCCAGACAGGGGGTCCGCTTGCCCAGTGGAGGAAAGAAGAGCACACAGGTCACCCTTTGCCCACAGAATCACGAGTTTCCCTGGTGTGGAGGAATCTGCTTGGGCGGAGAGGAAGGCTTAAAGGGGCACAGCCATCAGGGAGATGCACCAGGAACAGAGAGAAGGAGGAAAAAGGGGGAGATTAGAGAGAGAAAAAGACCAGTAGGCATGCCAGAAACCTGCCATCCAGGTAGGGTTGGGCATTAACTGCCTCCCTCCCTCCACTCCCAGTGCCAGCTCCTTGCCAGCAGAGAGAGAGCCAGGGCCCAGGACATGCTGGCTTGCATCCCTATGGTGGCCATGGGACAGTGAAGGAAAAATGCTTTCCTCCTCCTGGCTCCCTACTCAATAGTTCTCCAGGCAGGGAGCGAGGGGATGCTCTCCTCCTGAATTCCCCCCTTCCCTTGCTTACCCACCCCACCTCCAGGGTGATGCCAGCCCCAGTCTCCCACAGGGGTCTGCAGGACATCTCTGCTGTGCCGGGGACCTGGGATGGGGAAGTCCACGCCTCGGAGTAGTCCTGCCTGGTGCAGCACATGCTGAAGGACATGGTCCCTAATTTGGGTTTCTCAGGGGCTCCAATGTGCAAAGGGAAAGGAAAACCTGAAGGCTGTAACTCATCCAATACCCTTTCCCTGGGTCGTGCGCTTTCTTGGAGGACCCTGGGACAGCTCAAAGATGCGGTCACAGCTCTCTCCCTGTGGTCCCGAGACCCCCCGTTTTGCTGTAGGGACTACCTCAGTAGTCTCCCTGCGCTCCAGGAGAGCTCTGACCCAGGAGCAATATGTGGGCTTCTGCTAGGGAGAGGAAATTGCTCCCCAGTTATCCTTACACCCCAAAACTGCCACATGCCTGGCCCATTCCAGCCATGAGGCTTCACCCCATGGCTTCCATGAGCAGG